ACATATTCGACTGGATGGATTAAAATGGTCCACCCTGTATATATAAAGTAATAAGAATATAATATATATATATATATATATATATAAAAAGTAATAAGAAATCTATAATCTATAATCTAAAAAAAAAATGTTGCACTGCATGGATATGATACATTCTATCACATAAAAAAAATATTATCATTATTGCATCAAAAATAATTTGGCAGAAAATGTGAAAATAAAAAATACTAAAAAATATCTTATATGATTATATAAGAAAAAAAATTATCTATTAAAGGAAAGATCTATTCGAAATTATTGTGACAGAAATGCATTGTTAATTAATGAATTTATAAACAGAATTGTGGTTGCGTTCGCTCGCGTTTACTGCATCTTAGCTTAAGTCTAATCGTTACTCACAAGTGAATTAGTTATACGCTTTGAATGAGGCCGAAATCAAAGAATAACGTTTGATTTATTAGATTAAATCTGGTGTGAGTGTATCAGTGTGATGATATTAAGAGGAAGCAAATGTGGTGTTCTCCCACACTATGGCCGGATTCGTGATTAGCGGCTGCAGAGAACAGCCGTCTTTGGTCGTGCCGGTTTCTTAGGCGAGCGGCTATGCGCTCAGAACTTCTCCGGCCGGGCCAGTTTTCGCGGAGACTTGCGGCGTCCGGCGGCTCCCGGTGGTGCTAACTTCCTCGGTGACGTGTCCTTGGAGCACATTGACGCGGTCTGAGTGGCCTTGTCCAGCGTCGGTCGTGACGGCGGGGATGAGGGTGGTCTCAACCCCGGTTCAGCATGCCGGGGAGAGAGTGGTCGCCGAGCCCTGACGTCCCACGTGGTCAGCCGGTCCAGTGGTGGTTTGGTGCGTTTACCTGGCGAGAGGCTCAGGGGGCGTAGGCTCCGTGGCCTCAGAATCTCAACCAGATCGGATCTCTGGCTGGCGGCTGCGTGGAGGCCTCGGTGGTTAGGTGCTGCGCCGTTGACACCTGGGGTGTCTTTCTCTGACCGGCAGCAGCGTGGAACGGCACCGCCGCTGTAGCTCCGCGTGGTCGTTTGGGTGGCGATGGCGTTTTCGGCAGTCGTGTCGGTGAAGGCGTCGCGGGTAGCGAAGATCACATTGACGACGGCGAGCTCGGAGCGTGTATGCTTAACTCCTCCGCCCGGTTATCTTCGCTGTCCGTGCCGAAGAGATTCCGGACTTGATTGCGGAGCGTCTGCCGGCACGGGCTTTTGGCCTCGTTCTGAGGTCGTTTCTGTATGGTCTTCAGGTTGACCGGTACTTTACGCAGCGTGGTATTTCTCTCCCTGTGAGAAGGATTCACTTGAACTCCTCGTCGGAGTTTGGCTTGCTTCGTTCTCTAGAGAATGTTTCTCCTTCGAGTTCGAGACCAGATTAAAACTCCTGGCGCCTTGCGCCCTATTTATACCTCTTTTCTTTAAGTGTATTTACTATACGTGAATTTAAATTTCTCCGAAAATCGCGAGGTTCGCGATTCTCCGAATCTCGGTACAGGTCTCGCGCTTCCACGAATTTGTCGCGAGGCTCGCGCTTATCTCTGCCCAGCCGTGCTTCGTGGAAACGCGTCGCGAGCCTCGCGCTTCCCGGAAGCGTGTCGCGAGCCTCACACTTCTCAGAAGAACGGCGCGCAGAAGGTGCTCTCCCAAAAAAGGCATTTCTTTTTCCTTTTAAAAGCGAGATGCACCTCGTGTGCATCTCGTTTGCTGAAACGCCACAAGAATAAAAAGAGAAGAAGTGCCAGTGCTCCAAAATATGGAAGACAATGACAGCATGACAAATAAAAATAATTAAATATTTTTAAATTTGTAAAAGAAATTTTTTCTGTAGTATAATATAATAATAAATGTTAATTTTTATGTAACAATATAAAGTTGATCTCAATAATAAAAAAATATTAAAAAAGCTAATATTAAAATAAAATATTACAGTCTATATTTCACCATAATTAATGTTATCTTCATACTTATTATCATCATTAAAATCTTTGGTATCATTTGAACTTTTAAATTCTTTTCTTTCTACGCAATACAAATTTATAGTATTATGCAGTTCCAAGTGTCTAGAATCAACTTGGAAAGTGCTAAAATCTACATTATGAGCCTGAAAGCTGGATCGTATTTTGCAAATTGAGTCTAAAGAAGTAATACTAATATAATTCCTCTTTTTATTCTTGACATCAGTGACGATAGAAAAAATCCTCTCTTCAGCATTAGAATGTGGAAGAGATAAAACAGCATATACTAATTTTTCTAAATTTGGAAAGAACGTTTTATTATTATAATTTTTTTTCTCAAAAATAGTGTTCCACATTTCAAGAATTTCAAAATTGGCCAAAACAATTTTATTCGCGTCATTAAATTGTGAAGGTAAAATTTGCCATTCATTACATAAGGTCGTAATGTCAGATATGCCGAAACGTTTTGCTACATTCGTTAAATTTGGAAATAAGACTCTATTTTCCTCATACAAAGCTACTTCGGGATCTAAAAATTTCAATTTGCGCAAGATTTCATCATTGTATGGAAAACGATGCAACATTTCTTGCATCGCGGTAATATAAAATTGCAGACAATTCGACTTTACTTCAATATAAAAATCTGGACATTCTGCTAAGAGAAATGACTCACAGTCTGAACCAACATTGATACAATTAACTGGTAAAATTTTTGCCGCAACATTATTTTTGCCGTATTTTTGCGGACCACCTAATAGCTTACGTCTAATCATGCTCGCAGGAGGACAAAAGTATACACAAAGAAGAGATCGGCTCAATGAATAAATCGCATGTTTATTTGGTTACATGTGTGAACGTGTGTAATTTAGGCGTTATTGCGTTGTTCCACACCAAGACCTTATTCTTGGTTTTCGATTGCGTGCAGCAGATGTGCTTAAATGGACCCGCTTTCGGGGTGAGGAGCCGTGTGCTCTAAAAGCCTCCGGGCGAGCGACCTTCCTGGGCGAGCGGTGTAAGGCCGTCTTCCGTGGCGAAGTGTCTCAGGGGCACACCGACGCGGTCTGAGTGGCCTGATGCTGAGTTTGTCGTGGCAGCGGAGGTGAGATTGGTCTCACAATCGCGTTTCTTGGAAGAACGGCGCGCGTAAGGTGCTCCCTTTAAAAGACATTTGGTTTTCCTTTACAAAGCGAGATGCATCTCGCGTGGCGTCTCGCTTGTTGAGACGCCACACACAGAATAGCTGATCTTTTAGTACTGCCAGAAAAACATGTAGCAACTGCGTGTAAAAAATTTTCACAAGAATTCGGCAATTTTGCACAAGCTTTACTTACGATAAGAGCTGAGGAATGGCATATACATTTTAATACAATGAGGGCCGGTACCTCTTTTTTTAATCTACTCATGAAAGAATTATAATCACCTATCATAACTAAAGCATTATCAGAAGCCATTCCTATTGGCCATTTGATATTGGTATCCTCTTACTTTTAAAAACTGTTCAAACACAAAATATAATTTTTCTGCAGAACAATCTGTTGCATCTAAAGAAACTAATTCTAATAATTGTGTAACAACTGTTTTATTTTCTATAGAAAAATATTTAACTAAAATGCAAAGGATTTTATTATTTGTAATACTTGTACTTTCATCTTGTAAAATGAAAAATTTATTATTTAATAAATTATTAACAAGTTTCTCACTTTCGTGTTTAGCCAAAATATTTTTATAATTAGCGTACACTTTCTCCGTGACAATGTTAGATCTTTAGCTATCTGTGAATCTGTAAAAATATTTTTTAGCAAAGGAACCATGACATGAACTACTTCAAAGCTATATTATGTGTTGCATAAAAGGCAGCTAATTTTATTTCCGCTATTTTTACTTTAGTAACATGGTCCACGTAAGTATTATTATGTTTAACAGGCAATGAAACAGGTAGACTGACTGTTCCGGACGAAACGTTTACGTCCTCACGGAGCGTGTACGGCGGGCGGCCCGGCCCCAGGCGCCGCTCGACTCGCAGTCGCTGGCCTCCCGCCGCCAGTGCGCACCGTCACCGCGACGCGGCGACGGCGTCAGCCGGAGCCGTTACTCGCGGTCAAATCTCGCTTAGGCGCTTATATAAGGCGCCGCGCGAAACAACTCGAGGCCTTTTGACTGCGGTAGTCCATTTGGTCACTGCCTCGCTGAGGAATTCTTTTAAACTCTACTTAGATTGCCTTCTTGAGTGCGCATGCACGTTGGGCCATTTCCTCAGACGGAGGTATTCTTTTGCATCTCTGTATTGATCTCCACTGCCTTTAAGCGTCTTCTACAATGGCAGTAGGAGTACTGGATGAAGGGAGTAGTTGTAAGACGTAGACTGTAGGTTTAAGGCTTCCTTACGCCCGAGTGTCTACAATAGCGTGTAGCAAGAATTACAATGAGCCAATCAGCATTGACGAAAGTTATCTATTTGTACAACGTGAAAACATTACGATATAGGGTAAATGTATCAATGCCCGGATACGTACACCCATCTCCGGACATTGTTATTATTTTTATATTTGAATATGAATATTTCAACTTTCAACGTACAATACATACATATTGGTATACATACATTTAATATTTATATTTAATGTACATTGAACGATGAAATATTTAGAGAAATATTCAAAATAATAAGAACGGAATTAAGTACATGTCCAAGCATTGGTACATTTGTAGTAGCTAAATATTGGAGAATGGAAAGAACAGTAAAATAAAAAAACAGTAAATCATTTATATATTGTAATATACCTATGAGACAAGTTGAACATTCTTAAGTACTACTCCTAGTGCAAATCCTATGGCACTCAGCATGGGCTTAATATCAGAAAATGCATCACTGACTATTGCTGGCGGAACATTTGGTGGTGGAACCGTTATTGCTTTACCAATCTTTGCTGCAAGGTCTGTCAATCCTTTACTCTGTTCGATTAAAGTCTTATTGATAGTATCTACTTCTTGCCGTTTTTTGTTCGCAAATGAATCAGGTGTGGGCACTTTGCGCTTAGTATTAATGCTGGATATAGCTTTTTGCGCCTGTACAACTGTATTATTACTTCCAAAGTCTGATCTAACTGAAGGTGATGTTGAAGGAGATGATGTAGGAAGTGGCAAAAAGGAGTTTTCAGATGTATCTGTGAAACTCTTGTCAGTACCTAAAAATGCAACAGACGAATACTTCAGATTATGTTACAACAAACTGTGGACATGCAATAAGTCTTTTAATCTCCTTACCTATAAGATTTGTTAATGAATCTGAATTCCAACTGGACATGTCTGAACTTGCTGCAGCAGACTGAGAAGAGAAAGGATAAATCGTGTGCACTGTCATATGACCATCAGAAGGAGCAGATGTAAATGGTAATGAGGTAGTTGTACGACATACTGACGCTTCACTATTTACAACTTTGGACTTGTAGTTGGACGAGGTTCTGCAAGTATATTATAATCATTAATTATGTCAATGATACTTGTTATGCAAAACTTCCCAGACCACAACACTTACTTTCTAGGTTTGATAATATCCTCCAAGAATATGAGGTCCTTGTATAATGGCCACATTGATTTGTATGTAAACTGGTCTGCTCCAGCTCCAGATCTTGGCATGGACTGCACCATTTTTCTCCGCTCTTTCCCAAAGCGCTGTCTCAGAACATAAAATCTCTTCTCGGCAGCAGGACCTGACAAATATATTAAATTTCATTGCAGTAAAATGCAAATTATCAGGTGTTATATTATCTTTTTATAGTATACCAAAGTTACAACGTAACCTACATCTTGCCTAACATATCCTTTATTGATACACCTCATTCATTGTCTATATTATGGTTGCTTTCTAACAAGAGACACAAGTCAACACAAGTATCATCCTATTTTTGTTCTCACTAAATGTGAAACAAAAATAGAATGATGTTTGTGTCGACTTGTGTCTTATTGGAAAGCAACCTATAACAACAAATCGCTATAAAACCATATTAACATTTCCAAGTAACAAAAATAAACTTACCTTCTATTGGATTAGTTAGGCTCGCGCCAACCTGCTTCCATGCTTCGGTTTTTACGTCTCCATTGGCATACAACTTTTCAGTCTTGTCGTATAAAAACCGATTTGCTCGAACCACAGCAATTAGCTCTCGATCAATGCTAATATCTTCTTCAAAAAAGAGCTCTGTGTCCGACATATTTGTAGGTTAGAACATATAATTGCACTAACTTAATTTCTGTCTCTCTCTCTCTCTCTCTTTTCTTGATTGCAGACTTGTCATAGTGGCTCTTTCCCCATCTGACTGCACTAGCTAGCTAGCTTATATCGCGCGCGCTTTCGTGACGTAATGATGAGTTTTCATTGGCTGAGAGTAAAGAAGTAGAGAGTAAAGAAGTAGGAAATGGAATTCAACCATTTCGCTTACAGCCTTACTCTACACCCTAATACACCAGAAATACCAGCTTACTCCAACGTTTACAGCCTTAATCCAGTACTCCTACTGCCATTGTAGAAGACGCTTTAGAGTGTCTGAGACACGTTGGCATTTGTAAGTACGGAATATTTAGGTAACTCCACGGATCTCCACCTTCTCAAGACGATCGAGGATTGAGAGAAGGCTTCGCGCGACCATTCGGATTACCTTCAGAGCCTCCACCGCGGTGGACGCTTTCCGCTTGCGATAGCTCAAGTATCGCAAACACGTGTATCAGTTCGGCAGAATGCTGTACTGTCGGGCTCACGACTCCGCGCGAGTCCATAGGTTTCTTTCGGAACTCTGCTGCCAGGGACGCAGCCCTCATGCGAGCCACGCTCGATATTGCTCCGCTGCCAGGGGCACAGCGCTCACGCGAACTAAGTTCGCTGGTAAGTCTATTCACGACTTATAGATCATCGCATCCGCGACTCAACACGCGAGGAATACTCGTTTCTAGTCTCAACGAGGCTTAGCGTTAATCACACACGCGACATTATCAACGCACGTCCACGGTTACGTGTTAGTCAACGTTAGGCTTAGACTCCGCCGCATACGCGATTCAAGCACGCGAGTTACATTCGCGTTGAGGCTCTCCCTACGAGACATAGCCTTCGCTGCGTGCGCGACTGTTCAGACGAGTCCCGCTCGCCTGCATATCATTTCAGATTCAGCCTCTGTTGCCCCCAAGCTAAACAGAGCTGAATCTCATTCGGATTTGACTCTGACGCTCACGAGAGGAGACAGGTAACCGTCTCCATACTCTAAGTGATTACCTTCCTCCGGAAGGGGGGGATTTTTTTCCTAGCGCGGAGGCGCCGGGCAACTATACGCGTCCTCAGCAGGACCACGCCGTGCTTGCACAGTCAAGCACACTCGCACTTTCCTTACACCATCTTACGAGGCTCCTAGATAGGAGAGCATGACCTTATACTCGCGCATTCAAAAGTAGTAGTCGACGATAGTTCGACGGCATTATGAACTAGCAGCTCACCATCCCGGGCTGTTCGAAACACTGACATTACGACTCTTTATATTTTCTACATGCTTTTCTGTTTTAAAATGTGAAATTAAATTTGATTTCCCGCATATTAATATCTTATTACAAGCTGTGCAGAGAGCTTTTTCATCGTCTTCATGCGATGCCAAACAATCTTTGAAAATATTCATATTTAACTATGCATTTTGGAATTTTTTTCTCACATTTTCTTTTCTTTTCCTCGATACCACTTGATGACGAAGATTGTTGTTGATCTATTTCTTTTTTCAATACGGCTTTTTTCTTTAATTAAAACTAAAAGAAATAAAAAAACTTTTCTTGAGTATCATCAATATTTAACGTAAAGGACAATAAGAGTTAAAGCACAGGTTGAATAGTGCTATTAAAACTATCAAAAAATAGTAACCCAATCTCACAATGAGAAGATATTTATTAATCAAACGCGTTTCGGTCTAATTTCGCAGACCCTTTTCAGTGATTACAAGTTGAAAACGAATTATACTAAAGAGTCGCAATAATCGATATTACAAAGGTTGTTACAAAAGTTGTCGCTGCAAGTTTTGCTTACGGGAATCGGAAGCATCAACGTAAATAATTACAAATAGTCATTAAGACAAAGAAATTTTTTTTTCCCTGCGAGACGTTAGTAACTTGTTATAAGATTGGTTACTCCATCGCACGTACTAAGATGCTGTGGTGCAATTATCTAAAAAACGTATTGAGATAGAGTAACCAAACGAAGTATTAGGAAAAAGTAATGATAAATACTTCAATAATAGGATAGTAGAGTTCCAGTGAGATGTTACGCCAATGAACGTGTACCTCCGAATGCCGCAAACAATACAGAATTATGTGTATATGTATATTTACTTGGTACGAATTGCAAACGAAAGACAATTCAAGTCAAACCAAGCAACGTATTGTAACATTTTCCTAAATTCTTAGTATCAGTCTGAGAATTCAGTCCGTGCGTCTGCATTTTAATAAAAATCATCTCCACAATTATTCTTTTATAAAATAGATGTTCCCTATGTAAAATCCTGACGCTATCCCATTTAAATTCATGGACGTACTCAACACGGTGCTCCTGTACAACAGAGAGCCGCGAAGTAAGGTCTCGAGGTAATCGCTTATGCTCAGATACCCGAGTAGAGAGCTTCTGCTCGTTTGACCAATGTAAGACGAGTCGCAGTCACTGCACTCCAACTTGTACACAACATTATTATGGAGATTTAGAGGCAATGCGTCCTTATAAACACGAACAAGACCAGAAAGCTTGTTCATAATACTGAAACTTGAAACCTTGTTAAATTCTTTAAAAATCTTACTGAATCTATCGGAAATCATCCCCAAATATGGAAAGATACTATATGAACGAGTGGGTAACAAAGAAGACGAAGATGCACTCGGTACAATGGTATTCATTCTGTCAATCAGTCGAAACACACGTCTCCTACAGACTTTAAGAATAATTTCAATGGGATAACCATTCTCCACTAAAGTGCGGAAGACGAACGCAAAACTTTTCTCATGAAACATAGGATGGCTCAAAAAAATTACTCTATCAACTAACCCTATGATCGTATCAATTTTATGCTGTAATGGATGAAAATAATTGTAATTAAGAAGGCGGTCGGAGTAAGTAGGTTTGTGGTACCAGTCAAACCTGAGTCTGCTATCAACAATTTCCAGGTCTCCAAAAAATTTACTTTGCCATTATTGCCAAAATCAATCGTGAATTGAAGGCGTGGATGGAAAGAATTAAAAACACTCAAGATACCCTCAACAAAAGTTTCTGGAGCAGCCAAAACATCATCAACGTAACGAAAATAAAAAGGCAAACAAATCTGTATCGTCTGAAGTGCTCTTTCTTCAAGGTCTTGAAGAACAATATCAGCTATGATAGAAGAGAGAGGCGAACCCATCGGGGTGCCAAAGGTCTGTCTATAAATTCTGCCATTAAAGTTGAAGTAAGAAGAATTGAGGACAAATTTAAGTGCTAAAGTAAACTCATTCTTAGGAATTTTACTAGCCGTCTCCAAAAAACACCACCTTTTCAAGATACCATCCATAACCAATTCAAGAGGGATATTAGTGAACAATGAGACCACATCCAATGAAAACAATCTAAAGTGTTCTTCTATATATAAATTCGCCAGAGATCTAACCAGATCAAAGCTATTTTTGATCTTGCTGTTAGCCAACCGGAACACTAGCAGAAATCAACCTGTATAAAAACAGCCAAATTATATAGAGGACTATTTATTGATGAAACAATATTATTTATTGATGAAACAATAATCCTTAAAGAGTTATCCGTTTTGTGAATTTTAGGAGAATCATAAACCCGAGGGAGAGTGCCATCACTCGATTGGAGAAACCTAAAAATGGGATTGTCAATGTAGGACTTATTCTTCCATCTTTTTAAAATATTTTGTAACTCAGTTGTTATCTTTCTAGTCGGATTTTTTTCAACAAGCTGATAAGTACTAGTATCTTCTAACTGCGATAATATCTTCGTAACATAAACGTCCTTGTGAAGAGCAACAGTAACGTTTCCTTTGTCAGCTTTCATAAATAATAAATCAGGGAACGACTTGGCGAATGATTTAGCTTCTCGATAAGTGTGAAGGAGAAGTTTATTATTATGATATAAAGTAGGTAAATATGGCTTAATGTCACGTAAAATGGAAATCGAACGACTCATTATTTCTTTCTCATTCGTGCTAAATGACCTCATGTTATTTTCAAGATGTTTTATACATTCAATAAGAGTGGCTCTTTTATCAGTTAGAGGAACACTAAAGCCGTTACCCAATTATAACAGACCTTGAATATTGGTCGGTATGTCGACAGATGACAAGTTCAAAAACCAATTATGCTGAGGTTCAAGTAAGTCAGGAGTTCTCAAAGTCGCATACTTCAAGGGATCAATAATGATGTGAAAATTGTTGGAATTATCAGTGGGAGGAAATTGTTCTCTAGCAAAACATGTCTTGTTCACATGTTGTGTACTTGAATGAGATCTAAGTCTCCTATTTGGAACCTCAGAATAGGAAATCGAACAGAAATATTCAATTGGTCCTATTTCTTTTATAATATTACTTCGTTTTTTTACTAGGAGAAATTCGAATTTATTTATTAGTCTAAGTTCTTTTTTATGTAAAACTCTATTGATTTGCGCAAAATGTAACAAACAAAAATTACGTCATATGGGAAGAGGTAATGATGCACTAAGCGATTTAAAAAGACAATGAATCTGTCTCCGTAAAAAATGAATGTGCGTGTAGCCATCCCTTACTTCAGTTCTTTAATTAACTTAATATTATTAGGTGCGCAACTAAGTTCTCGCTGTTTTTTTTATGAAAATGCAACTTTATTGTGAAAAAATGGTTACAAATGAATCATTCAAAGTATTGCCCATCGCTAGCTACAACTTTTTCACATCTTTCTGGCAGAGCTCGAATACTGTTACAGTAAAAGCGTTCGTCTTGTGAGGCTATCCACGAATCAAGCCATTTTTTGATGTCTTCATATGAGCGAAACTGCTGATCCGCCAGACCATGTGCCATCGAACGGAACAAGTAATAATCGGACGGCGCAATATCTGGGGAATATGGCGGGTGGGGTAGGACTTCTCATTTGAGCGTTTCCAAGTAGGTTTTAACGGGTTTGGCAACATGAGGCCGAGCGTTGTCATGCAGTAGAATTACTTTTTCGTGCCTCTGCTCGTATTGTGGCCGTTTTTCGCGCAG